CAAAGGTTTGACATAAAACAAAGTTGGTTGAAGTTTCTCACTGCTAACCACACTCCGGCTAAAGAATACCTTTGCATTAGATGTAGAAGGCAAGAGGGTTGCTTCACAATAAAACAAAAATACCTGATTCTCGAAGCAAAGCACTGCAGTTGCAAAACGGTGGCTCATCATGAACCACTTTCCAGAGAAACGAATGCGCCCATGGCGCCGAATGTTCTCATCATCGCCATCATCGCCATTCCGTATCCTGAGTGACTTCTTAGTTGCGTCAGGGCTTTCCAACTACTTCAAATGAGCTAACTGCCCATGGTATTGTAATCCTACTATAAACCTCGACCTCTCATTTCAGTACAAAAACAAACGTTTTTCACTAGAAGACAATGACACAACACTGAGTCAGAAAACGTTGTAGGAGACTGAAATGTTGGGGAGTTGGAATTAGGTAATATACCTGGCACACATTCGGAAAGTTCAGTCTCTGTAAAGCATGCTTGTGGGAGAAATCAAAAACAATTTCTGGATTATTCAGTGATTATGGGATAAATCAACGATACAGTATCTTTGCAACCATCGGCTTGAGTCATTAATCGATAGAACTACCCCAACTAACATGGTCGGGCTCAGCGGACACTAACCTCAGGAAAGATAAACTAATGGGCTTCGAGAAGCCAAGAAAATAAAGCAGAGAAAAATAATGGAAGAAAGCTTATTTTGAGGTGATTTAAAGTAATGGTTCATATTTATTATCCACTTCCAGTCAATCAGTAGGAATAAACGACCATACGCGGTCAATTTTAAGTATACCCAAGGTTTAAGGAATATTTATTTACTCATCACTTTTCAATAGACTTGTAATATGTTGGGCAGGTATACATTTACGTTCAATAAACTCAAACGTTTAATGTGAATGAGCAAGGAAGAGGAAAGCAGATTTGTCACAAAGTTTAACTGAAGTGGTATGATGTGTAAAACTTTCTATATCGATGTGGCTTGATTGCCCTTTAACCGTATGCCAAACATTCTAAAGCAAAAAGCGCTTCAGGCACTGTACAGTGATGTCATCTTTGTCTATAACTCTCTGTTATATTTGTGATGCACTGGTTCAAGTTCATGTGGTCATTTCATAGTCTCTCGGCAATTCTGTGTTCTCTTTTTTGCAATAAGATGCATAGATGCATAGAAGTTCATTCAACGGTAACTTGGCACTTGTTACTTCGGAATGTGTGCTGCTTTTTTGCAACTGACATTAACCAATGTTTTATGTAATTATTTTTAATGGGACTGTGAAGCTGAGCTGAGAAGCTTTCGTTCTGTGATATTTCATTTTTCATGTTCGTCTTTACCTCAAATGGTCGGCTATTCATTGTCTCGGTCACACAGTGAATTCCGTTCCTGACGAGAAGAGAAATTGAATCTCATTTCCGGAGCAAATTAAATATTTAGAGCTCAATGAACTCAACGTTTTGTTGGATCAGTTTGTTTCACTACCTCCGTTCACATGTTAAATCAAATCGGAAAGAAGTCAGTTATATGGTTAAATCTGCACTTTATGCGCACAGATGAATGTCTTTGCACATAAAGTGTATATTCAACCAGAAATTTGATTTAACAGGTGAACGGAATTATTGAAATAAACCGATCTAGCAAAATATTCGGTTCAATGAATTCTAAACATTCACTTTACTCCAGAAATGAGACCCAAATTCTAGTCAACGGCAATTAGGAGAATCATAAACCGTTATGCAAACGGAAGATCACGATGATGTTCGGAATGTTGGGGTGCCATACTGATGGTCTATCTGAGAGGTCGTTTAGCCTGACTCATGGTTCCTTCAAACTGTCTTCCGTTTTTTTGGTCGAATATAACAAATATATTAGTCAAGTAATTTCATAAATGTAAATACCTTATTTGTGAGGGCGGTGGCATAAAAGTCCATGTAAAAAGAAACAGTAAACAAAGACAGAATGCTAAAACGGTTATTGCGGAAAATAACTTTTAGTTTTTGCAGTAGGTAACCTGCATAACTCTTTCCTGAATATATCTCGCGCGCAATTAGTTCCATGATTTAGGGTAATCTGCTATAATTTACCTTCTTAACAGTCCATTGGACAAATGACGTGGTAATTATGCCAATGGGATCTGTGAGGACGAATTAATTCTTGAGATTCAGGCTTTTTCTCACCCCGGGTGGTGCATGAAAAACAGCTATGAAACACCCCGGAACAAGACCAGGGAGGCAAATTTGTGGCTTGCATTTGTCCGTAACTGGGTTTTGTTTGATAATCCGGAGATAACGCCTAAAAGATAGAAAAAGCGGCTGCTTGGTTTGAGACAGGTCTCCGTGTTGGGACCGAAACTATACGGAAAATGTTGACCATCTGCTGACCTGAACAGATTCTGCCAACACAGCAAACCGACAGAATGGCTGACAGAACCCCGACTACAATTTAACCCTTGAATTTATTCTCGCTAGCAAATTTATCAATAGTGACTCATCGGAATGTTTTTTTCTTTTTACTAACTGGACATTTCAATGAGGTCATCCTCCAGTAGAGTTCTTAAATAGAAGATTTGCATTGGTCGTAAGAAAACGATTTACATCTGAACATTTAATAACGAGAAAAGAAGGCCAAGGAAACCCGTTCTGTCCTCGCATTTATATTTGTTAAAATTGATTATTTGATAATCTCTGTATCCTGTACCTACCGAGTACCGTTTCAGATTTCAGACTCCGACAAGGATGTACAAAGAGGCACAAAACTGAGAAACATTTATACGGAACGGGTATGCTAAATTAGGGATAATCGATTCACATGTACAGTTTACGTGAACCTTATTTATGTTTAAAAACCCACTGACAAATAGACTGGAGTTCGAGTGTGACGTTGCGTTGCTTTTGCCTTCCTTAGTATTGAGTTTGGCGGATGTGCAAAACACACGACAAAAAGGAAAAAATACTGAAACAAAGTTTTTAATTTGCCAGTGACTGCGTTTGGGGTTGAATGGTGGTTGACATTTAATTATGGAAATTCGGTCAATTGTGTGTAGGTATGCTAGAACATGCTTAGTTTTCCCCTTATTCGCTGCTCCTGTTGGTTGTAGCTAAGATACGTCATCCGCCAGATCAGTTTTCGGGTAGCCAGTTATAGTGTGTGTGTTTGTGTTTGGTTCTGTGCTGCGTGAAGGATAATATCACGAATTATATATAATTTTATTGGGTTAGATCCCCAATGAAGTCGATAGGATCAGTGGTATGGATTCAGCAAAGGAAAACCCGAAATTTTGCTGATTTTATGCAAAGTGGGTTGTTTTGCGTTTCTACGATCCATGGAGATCACCGGAAAGAAGGGATAATCACTGTTCTATTTGCTTATTAATAACTACATAGTAGGACAAGTTTCAGGCTAGATTTTATACTAACCGAAGTTACTTTGAGACCAAGCTATTGCGAAAAGTTGTTTTGCTTTCTTTCATATCGCATTCGATAGGAGAAGCTTATTAATCTAATGCAGACTACATTTTTCAGAGTAGATAATGATGATTCTAGTTTTGATTTGTTTGGCAAGATAACATCTCTTGATGCCAGTTAACCACTGGAAGCACCGACTTCTCTATCTCTTGATCATCCGCCAGGGAATTTAATTCGAGCTGTTTTCTAACTCCTCTACTTCCATTCTCTTGTGTCCGAGAAAACGTGACTTATTTGAAAGAAAACGCAGTTGAGANGAGGGCTCAGTTATCGTATCTAGCTAGTGGAGTATGAAATAGTGCGTAGTATCAATTAATAAAGTGAACCTTGAGCTTATTCGATTTATGGTCCGCAATGCGGTAGCCTCTTGAAAGACCACCCCGCGATGAACGCATTTATACCGATCAGTTTGTGCGACAGATGTTATTTGTGCGGATTTTATTTTCGAATCCGCAGGTTATGGCTTATATTTGAATAAGGATCACAGCAATTCTCATCTGCTCTACGCAACACACGTTTGAATAAAACGCGATCATTCTTGCATTTCACTGTTATCTCTCCTC